TGAAGGTAATTTTTTGGGTCTCAGTAAAGTGTATCAGTGAGTGCTAGTACCTAAAGTCATGGGTCCATGCTGCTTTTATAACTAATTCAGCTAGGTTATTCTTTCTTCCAAATTTCTCATTTGAACAAAAGATGTGGGCAGATAATTTGAAGCTGATCCATATATGACAGAGTTATCAAAGATAAATAACAGAATTGGGCTGACACCTGGGAAGAAAAACTTACAGAGCCAACAGGATCAACCATTGTTAGTAATAATTATATTAACATTCATATTGCTACTACTTACAGCATCTTTTACATCTGTAATTTCTCAACAAGCATAGATGTGATTATTATTATACATTGTAAATGTATCAGAAAATAATCTTAGATTTCCAACAAACCAGCCAATGTCATATAGCTACTTTGCTCAAGCTTCAGAATTAGGAATTGTATCCAGGTCCTAACATTATTTTAAAAATGTCTTGATTAGGAATCTCTGATTCACCATAATAACCATCAACAAAGACTATTGATAAACTACAGTGTCCCGAGAATTTTAGGCTACTTTTCGTTGTGCCCATTTCCATTAGTGTTTTTACTAATTCTATGTCAATATTCCTGGCCTCGAATAAAAAGGTAACACTACTGCGGATGTGTTTTTTTGAAGATAGAGTTAACTCCTCTGAAAAATGACAAATTCTTATTTTAAAAACAAAACCACTGAAACATACACAAAATTAGATTCTAGGATAAATGTAAAGAATCAGTGTCTCAAACTTTTTCATTTAATAACTGCAAAATCCAGATTAAATACTTTTCCTGATTTAAAGGTTTTTTTTTTTTTAAGTCAGCTAATATACTATTTCTAGTCACTATATTACCTAAAGAGTAAGGATTTTAAGAAAAATATTTTACAAAGAAAACAGAGCAAATGTAATTTGTAACCATAGTCACTTCTTAATCTAAATTTAGTCTTTTATAAATGATATTTAGACTTACCATTATTTACAAAATCATATAATTGATTATTTTTAGAAGACAATGAACATTTCTGTAAATGGAGGCAAATTGTATTATGTTCACACAACACTGGGTTACAGTTAACTACAGGGAGACTGATGAAGGTATTGGGAATTCGGATTCAAATAATTAATCAGAATGTTCATTAGGAAAACAGTCGTAAGAATTTGATTACTAAATCACATCATTTTAATACTATTTATTCAAGCACTTAATAATAATTTATTATTGTACAAGAAACCATGGTGATACGTTGCAGGTGCAGGAGGCATGTTAGAGAAACAAGATATAAGTCTCTACTCTCGTACTGCTTACTTTCTGATAAAGACAAACAGGTGGGGCACCTGGGTGGCTCAGTCATTGAGCATCTGCCTTCCTCTGGTCATGACCCCAGCGTCCTGGAATCAAGTCCAACATCCGGCTCCTTGCTCAGTGGGGAGCCTGCTTCTACCTCTGCCTCTGTCCCTCCCCACTTGTGCTCTCTCTTGCTCGCTCTGTCTCTATCTCAAATAAATAAATAAGTAAAGACAAACAGAAAAGGAAGCAAGAAAAAAGAGGAAGGAGGGACAAAGAATTAAAAAATGACTGTCAAATGTTGACTGAATTATTTGATAAAAAATAATCAAATCTATAATGTGTTATTTCCAATAAAGTCATAAGCAAAATAATTACTTTTGGAAATGATGTTAAAATCAAAGTCAGTAAGTACAGAGCTGTAAAGTATAAAATCCCCTTTGAGTCTCTTTATAATTTTGCATGTTGCTTTGCTTATTCATCTAGTGCTTTGCACTTGGCAAATATCATTTCAAATTCTTATGAAATCCTCACGGAGTAGTGGCAATTTGCCAGAGCATTTCTCTCCTGCTTTTCTAAAACACACACACAAACACACACACCATTAAGTGAAGTGAGGGGAAAATATATGCAAATGTCCATGTTGAGGTGAAGCCCCACAAGATGCTAGCCTGATGACCACTCTACTCACTGGTCTATGGGGTGAAGACAATTTTCTCTACTGCAGGAAGTCAGAACAGGTATCAAGGGGTGGGTTCAGTTGATCTGTAAGTGTGATATTTACTCTCTTTCCTTAAATGCATGGAATAGATCCATACAATTCAGATCATTTTTCTAGAGAATGTTAAGGACTGACAACCACATCCAAAACTCTGGCAATCTCCTTAGCATGAAAATAACTCATTGAACACTTTAAACTAGTGAGCTTGCACATGGTTTCGTAAGTGCAATTTTGGATGTTTCAATATGAACTAACTCTATTTTAGCAACTTTCTGGAGCCCAGTTCTGCCATTGCTACTATTTCATTCTCTAGGAATCAGTAACCGTCCAGAGTCAATGAGTTTGGTTTTTTTTAACATGATTCATCTATTGTATTTAGATAGTACTTACAATGAAAACAAAGCAATTTAAATTGGAAAAGTATTTGATTTTGAAGACAAAGCCTTAAAGCTGATGTTGTTTAAAATAAATACAAATTTTTATATTTCCAAAGCTCATATCATCCAAATCCTATAAGATGATATACATATCAATGGAACACTTTAAATTGACAGTTGCTCTAAAATTGAAATGGAGAAATACCGTGTTTACTTCTAAAGAATTACTACTTTAAGGTCAGACTAACTATTTTTTCCTATACCTCTATCAAGTAGATTTAGAGTGTGTTATTGAAATGAAAGTACCCTATATATAAATATATATTAAGTTTACAGATGGATGGGCAAATGCTTTAAGAGGTTGTAAATTGCATATCAAAGTAAACAATTTTACTAAAATGTGGTGCTTCAAGTAAAAAAGTACTTTAGCAAACTTACTAGTTAAGTGCTTACTGGTATATTCTTTGGTTAACAGCTGGAAATCACTATTCCTTATGTTTGTATTAAAAAAAAAAATGTCTGTACAAGATGTTGGCAGTGACCCTCCCTGGAGTAAAAATAATCTACACAATGGTTGTCTTTGAGTAAAATACTTACTAAGAAAATGTGTATTTGGAAAAGTGTAACATGGAAACGATCACACCAGAGAGAAGAAAGTTGATAATAACCAAGTTTGATCGGCTGTTTTTATAGGGAACATTCTGTCTCACAATTATAGTTCCATATTCCATAGTGGCAATGACGATGAAGAGGTCTTCATTAATACCAAAGAACACTAAGTTGGATTAATATATTAAACAACTTTTAAAAATGGCATTAGATTTAGTTTCTTCATCCATAAATATGGATTAATTCTTACTTATTTCTAAGAATTGTGAAGATTAAATGAAATGATCCACGAGAAAATATCAAACATCTATTGATACTCGGTGTGTGTACCCTAAATGATTATTTTCTTCCCTTTTTTCTGAGTTTTACTGATTATGGCACAATTTACAAAGTTAATTTACTTGCTTCAGAGGATTCACTCCAGTATAAAAAGGGCCAGTAGGAATTCTGAGAACAAATGTCAGATTGCCTTACATGAAACCCATTTTTGTTTCTAATATACCAACATCTTTCCTTCCTGGAGCAGAAAAGATTACTGTCACAGGATTTAAAAAAAAAAAAAAAGTCATTACTTTCTAAAACCAGTCTGTATAAGACCTGTATTTCCTAACTTCCAACAGTAGGCTACCACCTAAATTATTTGACCAAACAGGGAGCCATAATTCATTTATCCTGATGTGATTTCTGTGTCTCTCACCACCTTTTCTTCTCACTCTGACCAAGATGGCCTTAACATTCCTCTCAGCTTGACAAAATTTTAGGCAGGTTTCTTCCCAACTATAGGCCCCTAACCTCCCTTTTCTTAGAACATTTACTTTAAATGCTTGTAATTGCAAATTCTTTCTCTGCCCTTTTGAAATGTAGATAAATCCTCCCCCCAGCCTCTAATCAGTTTTAAAACCCAGAAATGTCTTTTTCAAGGACCTGGGAGTCATCTCTTTGAAATGTAATCATCAAGAAAGATAGTACCCTTATCTCCCATTGGACTGGACATAGAAGCCTAACTTGATAAGTGCCTATTAGCAAACTCAGGTGGCTTAATCACAAAGAAAAAACATTTTCAAACTCAGGAATGATTCAGTGTACTGGACACATTCCACTGACCAACTTCTAGTACTTTTTCACTAGCTTACCTCAGCACCTAAAATCCCTCTTACTTTTTTTTAAAGATTTTTAAAATTTATTCATTTGAGAGAGCGAGAGAGTGTGTGTGCTGGAGAGCAAGAGCATGAGTTGGGGGAAGGGGCAAAGGGAGAGGGAAAAGCAGACTCCACGCTGAGCGGGGAGCCCCATGTGGGGCTTGATCCCAGGATCCTGGGATCATGACCTGAGCCAAAGCCAGCCGCTTAACCGACTGAGCCACCCAGACGCCCCTCCCTTCTACCTTTTGGTTCAGGGGAGTAGAGTTCAGTCTCTCTCCCCTGTAGCAAGTCCAAGGGCCTTCATCGCCTGCTTAACTCTGGTGCAAGTTTTCCTTGACAGTTCCCTTCTTACCAAGTAAGTTCTGTAGCTCATCATTAAAATAACACACTTGCCAATATTCTCAACTCATTTTCCCCTCTTTTGCTCAAGCCCCAAATCCATATAATCAGCCCTTCCAGTGCTTCGTTTAGAGAAAAACACACAGCCAGCTGATTCACTTCACTCTGTCACTGTTGACCTCAAGTTCTAGAACACTATAAACAACCTCAAGGAGATACTGATTTATAGAGTAAAGGCCCAATTTTATTAATGTACAATAAAGAATGTATCTTTCCACTTACCAGGAAGCATGTTTTGCCATATTTAACCTCCAATATCTCCTCCACGGACAATCTTCTATAGAGAACTGTGGTGCTGAGAGGTTCCTCCTCTCCCAAGACCAGAGTTGGTATTCTCTCTGCGGTGCATTCTGGGGACTCAGGGGGATCCTGCTGCTGCTGTAGCCTGAGGGAAGCAAGAAGAGTCAGAGAGGCCCTGGCCCACCCATTCACCTGTACCCCTGTTGGGTTCACCATGCAGCCCGCTTCAGCAAAGTGGTATGATAGAAGGGACTACATCTTCATTAAATTTTGTGCTGAAGATAGTAAAGATATTAATGTAAATTTTGAAAAATCCAAACTTACATTCAGTTGTTCTGGAGGAAGTGATAATTTTAAACATTTACATTAAATTGATCTTTTTCACTGGATTGGTCCAAATGATTCCAAGCATAAAAGAACGGACAGATCAATTTTATGTTGTTTACAAAAAAGGCGAATCTGGTCAGTCATGGCCAAGGTTAACAAAAGAAAGGGCAAAACTTAATTGACTTAATGTGGACTTCAATATTGGAAAGACTGGGAAGATGATTCAGAGGAAGACACATCAAATTTTGATCATTTCTCTGAGATGATGAACAACATGGGTGGTGATTAGGATTTGATTTATCGGAAGTAGATGGAGAAGATGATGTTTCACAAGACAGTGATGATGCCAACTCTGGAGTAAGGAATGTGGTCATCACCAGATTTTGAGAAAGAAAAAAACTTCTCTGCAAGATTTCATAAATGAAGGAATTCCTGAGTTGATAGCTCTAAAGGCAGAAGCTGTATTTGCCTCTGTTAAGCCACTTTTCAACCTGTTTGTTTTTGTAAACTTTTCACCAAGGGTTGATATGTACCATTGAATGGAGAAATTTTAAGTCAGCTAAGGCAATAACTTTATGCATGAACTTTTCCCAGACTTCCATGATGCTATTGAGGTCCTAGGTAATTGATACAGCCATTGTGATAAATAAAAGCATTTCACCTCAGTCTCCTTTACTTCATAATGTAGACACTGACATGATAGGAAGCTCTTGGCTTAGAAGAAAGATAACTAAATTTTAGATTTTTAGAACATGGACTCAAAGTGGCTAATGAAACAAATTGTTTGATACCTTAAACTGGTAACTTGTTCCTCTGGTATATCCTCCAGAATTATTCCATTAACATTTTATTTTTCAAAAAATTTACTTCACGTTACTGTAAGTAATCACTGGTCAGTGTTCCAGATGTATCTTAGCTAAAACTAGTGAATGCCTTAACGCTGATGGTTTTGAAGCCTGTACATTTAGTATTGTTTGACCCTTAAACTTTTACATCTCTTAGCATGGAGGACAGAGAAAGGTTGTACATTGTTGCTAGAAAGTGTACATTTAGACCAAATTTGCATTTGGCAAATGAGTGAAAAAATGTTGATATGCTATTGGATGTTTTTCTTTTTTTTTATTCAGCTTATCCCAGGCTGAAAGCCTCAATTTATGTTCATGACAGTGGGGATTTTTTTTTAATGTCTACATTCTTTCTAATACACTGTTGGAAGACAAAAAAGAAGAGAGAGAGAGAGAGAGAAAGAAAAAGAAAAAGAAAAAGAAAAGAAAAGAAAAAAGTACCAGGATACTAAATCCTGCACCTAAACTCCTATAATAGTTCTCAATTACTTCTCAGATTAGGTCCAAAATCCTAATGCAATTACTATTAAATATCTGATCTCAAAATCAACTTAATTTTCTATAATTCAACTTAATTTCTGTCTCTATTTTATCATTGTGGGTGAAACATCTTATTTCTTTCAAGGGTCATCACCACTCCCCATACTCACCTCCCAGGGATTTGTTATAGTACTAGAGTCTTAAGTAGTGTCAAGGCAAGAGTTGAGGGAAGGAGGACAATGTACTCCTTGGCTTTGCTGCAGTAGTTTGACAATGAAATACATATCACCCAGGTGGTTGGGCTACTCCAGATCCAGTGATTTCAACTATTCTGTGCCAGCTGGGACACAGAGTATTTTGGAGAAATTGCCCATGGCTCCATCTTCCTAGACACACCACATACCTCTCTGTGGTGACTTGCTAGATCCCCTTGGTCTGCCACAAGGCTGTCCTGTTCACAAGACCCACCAACACCTCTCTCTCTCTCTTTCTCTTTTCATGTTTTTCTCACTTTTCCCCTTCCTTCCTCTCTCTATCCTCTATGTATCGCTCCAATGTCTATTCTCTCTACAGTTCAGGAGTTTATTTTGGGGGGTCATAGATGGGAGCCTCCTGCTCCCCTTGGCTTCCTTCAATATATATTGCATATAGGTTCTGGAAATAAAAATTATAAGGACTTACAGGTCTTGTCCTGTTTTCTTCTCTACCACATCCCTTTCCCAAAACAGTGAGCACAGAGCCCACTAGCTTCTTGAATGGAGAGACAGGTAAAGGTGGAAAAATTATGCCTTAATATCAATACCACAAGATTTATAATTTTACTTCCACGGCATCTCCTCACCCATATACATTTTCCTTACATTCCTATAGCATCAGATGGTTCATAGCTTCCTGAATGAATTTGCTCATTTGTATTTCCTAATCTTTAAACAGTTGTGTTTGTCCTCTGTCTGCTTAGAATGACTCTTAATGTGTAAACCGAAATGTGTGCATTATGATGAGAGAGAAGGAGCCAAGGATGCCTCTGCCGTCACCTTCATACATAGGTGTATCACCCTTCTCCCAGAGGGTGGCAGCTATTTGGTCATGGACCAGTTAAGAAGTAATAAAGCTTAATATTTTTTTTCCAGATAAAAACAAACCTATATCTATCTACATACATATATCTTTATATACTCACATATATGTATGTGTATATGCACGTATACACATGCATAGATGTATTTTTAGAAGTGGGAACATTTTGCTTAACCTTCGCATGGATCTATTGAGACCATTTTGTAAACCCTATAACATGCATGAATACTACTTTGAAGACCTCTACTTAACATACATTCACCTCAAACATTTTATATATTTGAGCTGCCATCTTAGTGTTGTCACCAACCTTTTAGACATGTTACAACTCATTACTCCCCAGCTTATATTAAATACTTGATGAGTTTTGGGAGACTGATTATTCACTTGATAGTAATTGTGACCACATCAGTGTTACCAACAGAGCCTCCACAAACCATTTCTTCCTGTGACTTACCTTTGAAGATGGATAAACACATGTTTTGTGAAGATGATGATTACTTTCAATATCATACAGTGACATTTTCTGATCTTCTAAATTTTGAGGATGGAGTCCCCTATGCAGTTTAGAACTCATCTACAGAGACCCCTAGTTAAACCCCTTTGGGAAAGAGTTTTTAATAGTAAGAGCTTAGAGGGGTATCTGGGTGGCTCAGTTGGTTAAGCATCTGCCTTTGACTCAGGTCATGATCACAGGGTCCTGGAATCAAGCCCCGTGCAGCATAGAGCTCCCTGCTCAGTAGGGAGACTGCTTCTCCCTCTCCCTCTGCCCCTCCCAATGATCGTGCTCTCTCTCTCTCAAATAAATAAATAAAATCCTTTAAAAAATAATAAAAACTTAGATTATTATCCTCAATGATTTTTTTAACCTCCATCTACAGTGCGTATCTTTATATAGCTTTTATTTTCATGGTTATCAACCACAGGTAAGCCCTAAATATAACCTAGAGATTCTTCTAGGTTCATTGGTCTACTCCTCTGACTTGGTTCATGGCATCTATTCTAAATCTTGTTAAGGTTATTAGTGATGTTATGTTGCTGAATTATATGAACAACTTCTGGTTCTTATTTTGACCTATCAGCCATTGTCAGACTATTTTGCCCTAGGATGACCGTTATCTCTCAGAGAAGCAGCTCTTTCAGTAATCAGACACTGACAAGTTAACCTTTACCTGTCAAGGATTCAATTAAGACTCCTTGCAATAAAAGACATTTTTCTTTATTTTTAAAGTTTTTAATTCCAGTACAGTTAATATTAAGTGTTACATTAATATTAGATGTACAATATAGTGATAATTCAGTAATTCCATACATCTCCCTGTGTTCATCAGGACAAGTGCTCTCTTTAAGCCCCGTCACCTATTTCACCCCCCCCCACACCCCTCTGGTGACCATCAATTTGTTCTCTATAGCTAAGAGTCTGTTTCTTGGTTTGTCTCTCTCTCTTTTTATTCCTTTGCTTGTTTGTTTTGTTTCTTACGTCCCACATATGAGTAAAATCATATGGCATTTATCTGAAAGACATTTCTCTTGATCAGGGTTCTACTCATACAGCCTTAAATTTGCCATTCCCCACCTCTTACTCTTTATTCCAACCACACCAATTTCCTCATGTCTTGAGTTTTTGCAAATGCTACTCCTCTTTGTTATGCCCTTTCCACATCCTTCACTTCTAACATGCAGCACAGGGATCTGGAAAACCATGTCTATGCACCCACAGTTATTCTCCTTCCCTTGTCTGGTTCTCCGTCTTCTCATCTCCAAGAACTTCCTCTGTGACAGCAATTTAAAAAAAAAAATTAAGATTTTATTTATTTGACAGAGAGAGAGCACAAACAGGGGGAGCGGGAGAGGGAGAAGCAGGCTCCGTGCTGAGCAGGGAGCCCCACGTGAGGCTCTATCCTAGGATCCTGGGATCATGACCTGAGCCAAAGGCAACTGAGCCACCCAAGCACCTCTAAATTGTTTTGTTATCTGTTTATTTACTGTTTTTTCCATAAGATAGTACACTCTTTTGCACAGTTTAGGCACTTGCAAAAAATAGCCATTCAATAAATGATAAATAGATTAATAGATAATAGATTAAAGAATGAATCTCCATTTTCCCCACTTTTCCTTCTTTCCTAACTTTTTCACATGTAAATATTTTGAAACTTTAAAAGTGAAATTATTTTTAAAAAATCAGAATCTCCTAACCATGATATGCTAGTATTTCTAAATACAGGAATACAAGTATTTTTGCTTTCAGTTTCAAAACTGTTTAATATTGTTGACATTAAAACCAAAATTGCTTTCCTAAATATGTTAGAAAATGAATTAATATGTTGAATAAAACAGAAAGCAGGGCTTTTTAGACCATTTAATATTTAAAAATTTAAAAATAAGATGCACAATATAAATTTTCATTTTTCTAAAATTCTCTTAAAACGTCTTGCTAGTATTCTACAGTCACTGCAGAGCTGCAATATAATTTGTAAGGCAGGAAGGTGTAAATACTATGCTTTGCTTATTAATTCCCTGAATTAGAACAGCTCTTCAAGGAAAAACAACTAAATTGCTGTCAGCATGAAGAAATTGAATTCGGTGATGACTGCTATCTTTAAAGCTTGTGACCTTACATTATTCTGTCATATGCTTAAAGGCAATGGAAGTACTCTAAATTAATTTTAGGGCTACACAAAAATGTTTCCTTTAATCACAGAATCCAAGTGCAGGATGCCTCCTGGTGTTCTGCTATCATGTTTTTAATCTTAATAATATGATTCTGTAATGTGTCCTATTTATAGCAAAAATTCTGCAAATTTTTCCAGAACTATTTTTTTTTAAAT